GTGGCTCCTCCCGGCCCGTGGGGCCGCGCGCGGGGCCGGTGGCGCGGCCATGGCGGAGCGGGCCGGGGGCGGCGCGGGCAGCGGGAAGATGTCCCTGCACAGGTAGGGGAGCGCCCTCCTCGCGGCCGCCGGAGGGAAAAGGCAGCGCCGGACCGACACGGCGGCGATCCTGTGCCCCGCAGCCTCCGCGCCCTCTAGTTTCCCCTTAGCGGGCAGAGGGCCCGAGCGCTGCTCCCAGTGGCTGCGCCAGGGCGCGCCCGGCACAGCTCTCTCTGAACCGGCACTGCAGAGATACTGCAAGAACGGGAAAAGGAGGCCTTGCTCGGAGTAATTCACCGTTTCTGCTTTGCAGTGTGTGAAGCACTTTTTTTCCGGTTCTTACAGCACTTTGTGCTGCCGGTATACAAATCCATCAGCTCGTCAGGAGGTGATATTGCTGAGCTTGTCCTTCAGACCCCCACTGCCAGCGGGCAGCAAGCACGTGGTGGGGAGAAGGAGAGAAATGGCTTGAGGCTGACGCTTTTCCTCTAGCCGTTGAAAATGGTGGCTTTGTACCATTCTAGAAAACTTTACTGACGTGCGGGAAGGCTTATTTCTCTCCCGTGCTTGTCAGAGTTAAAATAAATGAAAAGTGACGATTATTTCAGTTACTACATAAAGAACTTTTTTCTAAGAATGATAGAAACATCACTTGCAATAGCCTAGTTAAAAAGCATAAGATCTTCTTTCTAGAGGAATTTTTTTTTTACTGATATAATATTTGTTAGCTGTATTCATAAGGCTTACGTATTATACCTGAAAGGTTCCTTGACTTTAGGGTTTGCACTACTGAACAGAAGGCAGAAATTGTTTGCCTGACCATGTTGTCATGGTCTTTCTGTTTCAGTGAAAAAAATGGGATGCATTGTTCAGGCTTTAGTGTGAATCCTCGACATTTATTTTCCATTTGCCTAAAACTGGGAGTATTATAAGCCAGCATGGTACAGTGCACATTACAGGTGGTGTGAACGGAGAAAAGCACTGATACAACCGGGCCACAGAGAGTAAACTGCTGAAGGCTTGCTGTGGTTCCAGCTCTGAGTTAGCATGAGTTGGCTTTTTTTTCTTCCAGGTACTGTGTTTTAATATGTATGTGTTTGGAGGTATTCCCCGTAGCTTGTGTTGTTTTGTCTGCCGCCTTTTCTAATCCAGAGCATTTGTATTTTCTTTTTTCTTTCAAGGTGCAGATAGCTTTTCCTGAAAATGCCATGGATGTCCTAGTGCCTGGTTGTTGAGCAGGCACCTTCTTGGGTAGTCAGGCACAAAGATGCTGCTTTATTAAGACATGTTTTTTGCTTCTTTCAGATGTGAAACCTGTAGCAAAGAAGCAGCTAAATACAGATGTCCACGATGCATGAAATATTCGTGCAGGTATCTGTTATTTGAATTAAACTGTTTTGGTTATTTTCTCCATTATGTGCTAAACATGTTTATCTTTTCCTTTTGTCATTTCAGTCTGTTGTGTGTAAAGAAACATAAGCTTGCACTGAGCTGTAACGGAGTCAGGGATAAAACAGCGTTTGTATCTGTAAATGAATTTACTGACTTGAACCTTTTGAGTGGTAAGAACGCACCTTGTGCTTTTTAAAATTCTTTGATTTTACTAGGTTACCACTACATTTTTCTTTGTTCTCTTTTTGTCTTCAGATTATCGTTTCCTGGAAGATGTAGGAAGGACAGCTGATGCTGCTGCTCGACATTGTACTGTGCATAGTCCAGCAACAAAAAGACTTGTAAGTTTTTAATTAGCCATTTGGTCTTTTAGAGTTAGGATTGACTATGTTTGAATTTCCACTGAGGCAGTCCCAGTCCAGATTTCAGAGCTGATACCTCTCCTATGAAGGTATGGCCCTGGATTTTAGAGCCAGGCATCAAAAGAAGTCTCTAGGTTTATGCAATAATAGTATTGATGGCTACGTCCAGTTGCTTAGAAGAATAGATTGCTAACTATGTACGTTCTTAAAATTGATGCATGATCACTGTTACTGTTGGATAATAGATGTGTGTTAAGAAAGCCTGAATGTTTTCTTCCACCTCCACAATGTTTTTGAATTTTTAAGGACAAAATTCCAAGGTAAGCAATGGGTTTATTTATTGCCTAAAAATTATTTTATGCTTCCCTGTATGCTAAATGAAGGCACCTAGTGTTCTTCAAAGTCTACACAACTATGACTTAAAAACCAGCCTTCTAAGGGTGAGGGGGCTTTTGTGAAAACTCTTTCAACAACCAACCAAACAAGCAAACATGCCCCCCAAAGAAACAAACAACAAAAAACCACAACCAAATCTGATACAAAATATTTTGACTTGTTGATGTGTCACAAAAAGGCATCGGGCGTTTTGTTTTCCAGTCTTGTGAAGACGTCTTTAAATATAGCACAGAACTCAGAGAGAACTCGTGTTGATGACAAAAATAATTTCAGAAGACTCCAGCTTTCCCTCAGGCTGGAGTCATACTCTGTGTGTGTGCTTGGTACCATGATGTCCTGAAAACATGGGCTGAAGATGGTAAGATAGGTAGCAGTTTTTGGGGTGTGGTACTGAGTATGTTTGAAGGATGATACCCATAGTGCTACCTTCAAATTAGAATTTCTCAGTGTCTGAGATGGTATTTGTGTATCTCTTCTGCTAACGGGGTTGTAGCCCAAAAAGCAGCCACGTGGTGGTATTATAAGTAAGAGAACTGCCTGTAACTTTCATGGTATGGTACAGAACTTTTACTATGAAGAGCCCATTGGTGTCTTCTTTTTTAATCATAGAAGAACTGCTCCTGAAAATGTTTCAGAGAGTTTCTAGGCTTACTTTATTAACTTTTTTATTTATTATGGGTTTTTTTAAATTCAAAGTATTATATTAAATATGGCCTTTTCCACAAATTTCTGATAATTCCTGTCAGCTTTTTATTGTTTAAGTTTCAGGTTTTAAATATATTATTCAGAGATGTTTAAACAGTGTTTTTATTTTTTACCAGTTACAGTGTTTGAGAAACAAAGCTCGAGGGTGTAATATTGAGCTGAAAACACTCCCTGTGGGATTTACAAAAAGAAGAGAAAATTCAACCACGTTCAATTCCATGTGAGTCTTTGGTTGGTTACAGTCAGCAATGTTTTGTTTTCGCTGAGCATATAATGATGAGAATTCGAGTTCATACCAATGCACTTGCTTTTAAAATCTGTTAGATGCATATTCTTTTTTTGCAAAAACTCTGTAGAGTTAATATTTCATGCTTCAGGTTTTCACTTTTTATGCTCTTTGAGCTCACTTTAACAGCTTACATAATTCATGCTTTATTTTGAAAAATGCCAACATTGTGTAACAGTAGGTGTGTTTTTTTCTTTTACTTAATTTTGAGTTTTGTTACTGGAAAAAGAAAATCCTTTTTCAAAGTTTTATAATAGAGGATTGATGCAGAAGGCTTGCACAAGTCCCTCTCACAGTTCTGTGTTGCATACTGTGATGGGAGTTGCTGTGCTGGATGATGTGAATGTTTGGTACAGCACAGCTTAGACAAGTGCAGTCAGATATGAATTCAGGAAGAACTTTAAATTCAGGAGAGTTTAAATATTCTTCCCTTTATCCACTCTGTGGGTTTTCTCTGATATCTAAAATTTGTATTTTAAGGTATTTTCACAGTAAAAAATAAGATAAATTGGAAAGTATTTTATTATGACAGTAGTCGGGTCTAGAGTTCAGCTCAGTGATATACTGGGGCAAATATAAATGCCTTCTGAGCTTCTCACAGCAGTGAGCTGTGCTGGATCCCCCTGATGGCTCCTTCACTTGTTTTCTTCATGGTCTCAGTTTTGGTAGCAAGTTGTGTTTTCAGGATGTATTTTTCCCTCTGTTCTGGGAGCTGTGTGCTCTGAGGTGTCAGGCACTGCCTGGCCACCAGAGGTCTGTCTCTGACAGAGTAATAACCACCTGGAAACTTTTTAACAGACCCACCTGTATTGTTTGGGCTGTTCTGGGGCAAAAGCACAGGTTATGGGTTTTGTGGGTATATTAGTTTTCAGCAGAACATTAAGCGTAAAATAGATGTAGAAGTGTAACCTTTTAAAGTTACATATTTTATTGGTTCTGCTAGAGAAAACCCAGGGTGAACCAGTGAAAATAAAGAAAATCTGAGGTATTTTTTCCTCCCTCTACCCCAAATTAATAGGTCTCTGAGGCTCTCCCATCAGAACAGACCAGGTTGTAGTCCCAAACCTTGCAGAGGTTGTCTCTCTGCACTGGCTTTCTCTACCTTGGCTGCACGCTCTACATTTTACAGATACCTCTTACTAGTCTCTTGCTGTTGTAATGTCTCTGGTTTAGAGCTGAGTTTCACTTTCATGGGTAGTTTCCTTAATGTTATGGATAAAACAACATAAACATCCTTAACAAGTACAGAGTAAGGAGTTGTCTTTAAGAGCCAGTGCAGGAAGCCCAGGGATGCTGCGTCCAGTAGCTAAGAGGACAGAAGAATGGAAAGAGCACAAATATGAGGAGGGCTGACATTTTTGGGATGACCCTGGGCATGATACAGTGCTGTGCTGGCAGAAATTTGCCTTCATGTACCATGTTTCTTTCCTCTAGAAAGCCTTTTTGGGTACACACTGAAGCGTAGCTTTCATTGGGAACAAACTTTGAGCAGATTATGCTTTCACGTGTATCGTGTGCTTTTTGTTGTTTAGCACAAGCAGATTTAAAAATGGAGTAAGGAAGGTGACTTCTTGGCAAACAGGTATGGAAATATTTCACAGACTGGGAGAATGCCTCACTGGTTTTTATCAATCATAAAGTCCTGGAGTACTTTTGTTGTTGCCTTTCTGGGGCTTTCATATCCCACCAGAAAGAACATGATAACATTCTCTGTTCTGAAGAGGTTAGGAAGTAACTGTTTTTTTCCTGTAGAGGCTGTCCAAGGGTATGGAACATGCTCAGTGAATATTACACAAGGGGTACATTTCCTCTCTATTGCTGCTACTATTGATCACACAACAATGGGCTGTTTGAATTCAACGATGCTGATTAAAAATTATCCTGTGTTTTTTGGGGGTTCTTTTTTGGATTTTTTGTTGTTGGTTTTGGTTTTTTTAATTGGCCTGTTCTGCTGACTTTCCTTAAATGGGTTCCAGAGGAATCAAGTTTGATCAAACCAGTGAATAGTGAATATCAGGCATTTCACACCTACCCCATGTGACTTCGTGACACCCATAACCTTTTGTTGAATATTACATTCAAATTGGGTAAAGCTGTGCAAATAGTCACATGTCAGTTATATGAGCTCAGGGCCTGGTGTGTCCCTCTTCTGTAGATTTTAACCTCTTCTCATGCCATTTGTTAGTTGGGATTTGTAGAAAGATTGCTCCAGAGGGTGGAAATTGGAAACTGCTCAATGTATGTGCGTGGAAAACTGAGAACAGTCTTCTCTGATGTCGTCTTCACGCTCTCCCTGCGAGCCAACTGTTGGGCTGTACAAGGCGGGAATGAGAGTAATCCGAAACTAGGAAGTACAAGATGTATTCTTGTGTCATCCCTTGCCCGTGCCAGCTCTGGAGGACAGATCAGTGTTGTTTCAATGTGTTAACCAGCCTCTTCATTTCCTGGTTTCCATTAGTTTGTTTGCTAAATTTGATGTTGTGAAAGCATACGTGCCAATGCTGGGCAACACATGGATTAGACTAACTTGTGATATTGAATACCTAGATAATGGAAGGTCATTAGAAAGCAGAGTCTGAGTCCAGTTTGTGAACTCATGGTACATCTGACTTATTATTCATAAATTATTTTTCATGTGCTGCTTCATCCTACTCTCCCTGTGGTGCCCTTATTTTCCAATAGAACTGAAAGTTCCTCACCGGATGCATTCTACCATGGAGTTGATGGGGTGACCTGCTGCGATAGGAGGCCTTTGGGAAAGGGGTGGAGATTGTGGCCAGGCTGGGACAAGGCCTGGAGGAGCAACTGGGAAGCTCTAGCCAGCAGGTCATAGAGTGGAGGGAGCTTGCAACTCCATGGCTCCTGGTTCCCTGGCAGGAGATGATGATGGCAGTAGTGAGAGACTGAAATGGAGCAGTGCAGCTCCCTCGGCTCTGCAGCTTGTGCTGCCCTGCTCCAACCCTCCCTCCTGCTTGCGCTGTCATAGGCTTCTACACCCAGCTTCCTACCTGCTCCATTCACAGCATCTCCCAGACAGAATCGTTTTCACCTCTCCTCCCTGCCAAGAGGGACGAGAGGACTACAAGTCTCCTCCCTGGTGGAAGGCATGCCTGCAGCTTGAGTGCATTTGGTCAGAGGATATATGTGGGAAAAGGAGGAAGCTTTTACATTCTCTCTCTCCTTTGATTTAATTGTGAGAACAAAATATAGTGTGGAGATCAAGGATTAACATCAGTTAAGAGAACATTAGCGTTACAGAAGCTACTTGTGAGGTACACCTGAAAGCCCTAAACTCTGATCTTAACTTAGATAGGAAAAATTAAAATAAATTGTTTGAAGTGTTGACGATCTTGAGAATTTAACAAGGAGATTTCTGAGCTGGGTTTTGGCCTAATATTACACTGGTGGAGCTGTTAAACTTGAATTTAGTTGTTACTTAGTACATAGTTTTCCTTGTTTTCTTGAATCCACTAAAGTTCTCAGGCAAAGGACTGCTACTCTGGGGTGGTCAGAGAGCAGGATATTCAGGCATTTCAGTAGCTTTTCAGGACATCCCCATGTGAAGACAAGTACTGAACTGAATTCTCTACCTGGGAATTAGTTTCTTCTGGTTTTTTTGCAACTGAAATGTGTCATTTTCACAGTGAATCTGGTGGTAGTTTTGTTTATTTGCATAAGTAAAGAGGACAGGAGTTTTATTCTTTAAAGATTATTACAGTTTGGGTTACTCTGCCTTGACAGTGTCCCTCTGATTTACACAGGGCTCTCAGTTCAAGCCTGGTATGTTTGATTATTGCAGCACACATGGTTAGTAACGCCCCTGCTGTTGTGAGGCCCCCTGATAGAAGACCATATGTGTTACAGAGGAAGTGCACTTGAGTGTCTTCATTGATTGTCTGGCTGTTTACTGTAACTAGGAAACATACAAACTTTCAGTAGAAATCTTTCAGTTTTGCTGTGTATATTTCAAATCCAGGAATTAGCTTGATGAAGTTTCAAGAAGACAGAGGCATCTCCTCTTTTGTGCCACTATTAAAAGTGCAACGAAGTCAGTTTGGCACTAGGAACGCAGAGTTTCAGGGGACCGGGGAGATGGAATCACCACATCTCTGCGTGTTCTCTTAATTTAATTTTTTAAGAGAATCTCTTCTCTTACTTGGACTGAATCTTCATTGCTTAAGAAAGTTGAGGAAGGCAATATTATCCAAAAGTATGCATACTGAACACCTAGTACTTCTATTAAACTTCATTGTAATATGTGAGAGTACTGAGTATTGTCAGATGAAAGGATAACTGGTCCGTCATTAAACTTCATGTCCTTTTAATCTCTTCTATGAGTTCAAAATGACACAGACAGGAAGTACTATAGTATTCACAGTTTGATGCAAGATGTCCTGTATACTGTTTTTAAAATATTTTAAGAATATCAGTTGCTAAATAGAAGCAAAATCACCAGTGAATCACTATCATTGACAAGCTGGCAGTGAAGTAGTTCTGCAGAGCAAGAATTGCAGTTGGTATCTTAAGATATGAGGAATTTGAAATTTTTGTCAATGTATGTTTTAGTATGCATACATATGTACACGCACTTAAAAAGGTTATATATGTATAAAATCTACTGCATTCTAGGCAAAACTGAGAGGAAATGTTCAGAGGAAACTTAGGTAAGAAAGTTAAGCTTTATGAGGTATCTCATAAATGTTTTAAGAACTGTGTAAACATTAAAAACTTCTAAAAATCTGCCAAGACACTTAACAGGTATGTCCAAATCCTTTGTAGATCTGTCCTTTAATGCCCAACAACTGTTCTGCCTATACCTGCAGTACTTTGAGCATCTTCCCAGGTACTGCAATAACTGTAAAAGGTGATGAGGATTTTTGCAGTTGTTCTGAGAGCCAGCTGGAGGTAACAGCCGTGTTGTATATACTGGTGCTGTCTTTGTAACATCAGAAATAAAAATCTTTCCATTGTTACTGTGAAAAATTTTAAAATCATTTACATGTAGTTCTGTGAAAACTACAGTAGATTATAGAAAAGGAGTTTTTGGAAGTTTTAGCAGAATTGAAAGGTTGGTAGTTACTTTGCTTTAGAAGAGCAGTGGTTGCGAAACAGCCTGTGCAGTTCTGAACATATTTTGCAGCTACATCTCATGCAAGGAAAGAGGTACTTGGCTCCTCTTTTTCCCTCTGATCAGTGTCCATGCTTCTGAAGTAGCCAGAATAGGATGTGAAGCCAAGCAATGCAGGGATGGGCTGCGATGCTGCTTTTACTGACATCAGTGATGTGCTTGTGCCTCATCCAGATCTCTGGTGTTTGGTAGTTTTATAGTCAGTGTCTTGGTATCCAAAAAACCGTGGAGTGGTGTTCCATGGCAGCAGAGCAGCATGGAAGACTTCATGGAGTGAGCTGTTACTCAACTGCAGATGACTTACTCAATTACGCATTTTCATTTAGAAAATGAACATAGTGCATGTCTGTTGTATTTGAAGGAAATACTACCCCAGTGAGCCATAATGGAAGATTAGCTCAGTGAGATCTGGAGCCAGGATATCTAACTTTAATCAGAACTTGTTGTGAAGCAGCTTTGATAGCATCTACAGTTGACATCAAGTTCTCTAACTGGGCAGAGATCACTGATGGTGAGGGATGCTTCACTTCAATAACGGGCACCCAGCAGAGACTTCACTGTACAGTGAAGAGGCTGTTCTAGTTCTAAGCTTCTTTTTGTCTTACCTACTTCTACTGTGTTCTTAATCTGTCTTGCCTATTTCTGCTTGCCATTTGCTTCCATTTGAAGAGAGATGAAGTCATTAACTGCAGTTTGTGTTAGCTTGCTGAAAAGAAAAATCAACATTTTTGTTTTTCCAAAGTGAAACTTTTGACAAGGAATGAGTTTTTTCATTTCATCTTCCCTGATTCATAGCACTTTCTGTGAACTGTTCCATAGACCAGATTGTGCCTGGAAGGGGGAGGGAGGGCGGAAGTCTGAAAAGAACCCTCTTAAGCTGATTTTACAGCTGCAGTGATGAACTGAGTCTGCCTCAGTGAGCCCACAGGGAACCAGTCTTGCATGTGAAATGAGAATGTGCTTTGTGACAACCGTTCTCGCTGACACATGAAGAGAGTGCCTAACAACAGGTAGCAGATAGCTAGAAGTACTTTTCTGGAGCATTTCTTTTTTCAAGTGCCTGTGTTAGAGACAGCCCTCTTGGCCACATACATGTTTCTGTGAACTGTGTCAAAATTTGTCTGTTTCCTCTTGGGAGAGGAAGATCTGCAGTACTCACATTACTTTGGCTGTCTTGGTTCAAAAATTTGACAGAAAGTCTGTATCACAGTAAGGGTGAGTCACTTAAGAGTAGATAAATATGGCCTGTTTGAAAAAATTGTGGAAGATGAAAAAGTGCTAGCAAGCCTCACTAATATATATTCTTTTAATAACTAAATTAACAGAACAAAACCCTCATCTAACAGTCCTTAAAGGCATTTTAATAAATGTGCCCATCATTAATGTTTCCTACAGCTAGTGATGGTGACCCTGTTTCTGTGTATAAAGCTTACTAACTTTTACCTGAAGTCTGCCTGGGAATGTGCTTTGAAATAATACCATTCCATGTCAAATGGCAGATATTAACATGTCTGAGAGGAATCACAAGCTTGTTAATCACAAGTGAGCTGAACTGGTTACATAACCCTATTGATATTCCAGTTTGCTCTGCGTGTGTGGTAGTGTTGATGTTCCCTTTAGCTGTCAAGATAAGAATTGCAAAACCTTGTTTCACTTATCTTGTAAAAACTTCCAAAATTCCACTCACTAATTTTGAGTTATTTCAGAACCTTTTGCAGTTTGGTAGTTGAAGGCAGTATCATACTAACATGCAAAATGGTATAAAATTCACGGGGCCAGATACTGTGCCAACTTCTGGGTATACATACTATGTAATAAAAAGTGTTTTCTATGTTATCCTTCAGCTCTGGTTGTACAGTCCTCTTCCTTCTTTCAGATCTGATGGGCTCTTAGTTTCACCTCCTCATTTAAGGAAGACATTCTCATTATCAGCTGCAAAAAACGAACAGAGAGAAGGGAAGAATCACAGGGCCTGATGCACAGTTCTGCTGAGGCACATGTTGCTTTGGGAACCTTGGCCTTCATTAGTTCTGTGTAGTCTTAATTATTAGCTTCTTGGAACTGGGGTTCCTTCTTGCTCTTTTTTTGGTAACCTTCTGACTTATACTCCAGGAAGTATAAGTTCAGCTGTAAAGCTCAGTTTTCTCCTAAGAATAACTAGGTAAGGGATTGATTATTTGTTTGATAAGAGCACTTCATAACAAGTGCTTGCATTTAAAAATTGATATCATACTTAATTAAACTTAGCAACTAAGTCTACTGTTTTGCTACTGGATGTATGTACACTTGTCTCTGCAGCCAACTAGAACCTGCTGGATAATGTTTCATCTGCCTGATAAACAAATAGCACAACATGTTGGAACAACGCTGTGTTTACTTTTAATTGTAGTACCAGGATCTTTGCATAATTGACTGTGATTATTCTGGATACAATGATTCATTGGTCTTAAATAGTGTTGAAAAAAATAGTTAAAAAAAGAGGCAGAGAGAATTACCATTAGACGTTCCTATGCTTCACATAGATGTTTGGCCTCTGATTTCTAAGTCTTTGCTGTTTGTCATGTAAAATTCTGATCCAGAGCAAAGGGCCATGAACCTTTTAGACTGTGCTTTCTCTTAGGGGATTCTTTGAGAAAGGTATTGTAATATTCGCCATACTGAATGAGAGAATTTGGAGCAGTAAGGAAAAATGCTTTGTCTTAGGTCAATATTGATTTCTGCAGAAGAGCAAAAAGGCAGGAAGAGAGTTCCTGATCTAGCAAAGTATCCTCTAGGTAATACTTCCTTTCTTAAGATCTCTGGAATTATGCTTCAGTAGCTTCTGTTCTTAGGTATTAATTATGCTAGCTGGAAAGGGAAGATTTACAAGAGCTTTACAGAGCTTTTGGTCTTTACAAAGCTTTCTATTCTGTAAAATATTTAGTCTTTCTAACTTTTCTTATACATTTATGTCAGAATGCAACTTCCTTCCTTGGCCATGACAGACTTTCTGTTGAGGCCATCACTGCTGGGAAAAGTCGAGTCTCCTGTTTTATGTTTTTTGAGGACCTGGCCGCTGCTGGGACTTGTGGCTGTTTTTGCTGCACAGGTTTGGCAATCTGTCCTGTGTGATATGAAATTAAAGGGCACGTGGAATATACTCCCTTTTAAAATGTGAAATACTGTTGATCAGTTAATTGGTGTATTTGTAAGGAACAGGACTTGAAATTCAGCAGGATCTGGGAACATTGCATCTTTCAAAGGGCACCTCAGCTTCTCTGCATGTCCCTTTTATTCTTTGAAGCCATTCAAAATCTTAACTATGTATTTTCTCCTGCATCCATATTATAGGCTACCAAGCTTTATCATAGAAAAAAGAAGTAGCAGTTATCAACTAACACTAAGAATATGCATTTCTTTTTTTTTTAGGGAGAACAAGTTCTACTGGCATTTGAAGCTTGTATTTCCTCACTGTCATGCTGAGTACACTTTAAAACGGTACAGAGCTTGAAAAACAGATTTTTATAAAGTTTAAATTAGTCTGCTGAAGTTGAATTGCAAAACATTTTTATCAGTTCTTATCTAGTTCTGTTACATAAGGTAAACTCGGGAATTAATTTTAGTCTTAATTAAAAGGGCATTTAAATTTTTAAAAATATTAAAAAGTTGTATAGTCCTTTCCTCTTTGAAAGCTAACAGGCTTTCCAAATCAGTCAGAATGTTTGGTTGTTAATCCTTTTCTCTATATAAACAGCAGCTTGTGTATTCATAATAGCAATACCCATACACCTAACATACTCTATTCTCATGGAGCAGATGTTCAGCAAGATTTGCCATCCCTCCTTGCCTGCACTCTGGAGCTGACCTTCATATAGGGTGAAATGGTTGCATTGTTTGCTTTGTAGGAAAGCCCACAAGCACATTTTGAAAAGGCTGAAAAATAAGCTTTTGTTGACAAATCTTTCTCCTTTTTTCCTAGCCTGAAGGGGAGTGAGAAATATGCCCTTGTCTGCTTCTAGAGCTGTAGAGGCAGCGTGTTTCTATTGCAGGGTTAGAAACTAGAGATGCATCTGTGTACTCCTTGTATATGCCTGTGAAATTCCAGTGCTGAAATGGAGATAAAGCTGTGGCTGTCTATGCAGTACTGGTACACATTTATGATCCTCCCATAAACTACTCAATTGTGCCACTCTAGCGTGCAAATATACAGGTTCCTCCAAGTGACTCATAAATGATTTTTGTGTACATGATGAACCATGTCTCACATATTTGATTTTTATCTCTGGTGAAAGGGTGCCTGATGATAAAACACTCACTGATATCCTTAAACCGTACATTGATCCAGTGGAGTCGGATCCTGTAGTTTGTCAAAGGTGTGTATTGAATAACATTTCTGCCTATTTCATCTAATGCACTAATAAAAGAAGGGAATGGTTCTGAATAAATACCTTAAATTAGCTGCACTTTCTTCTTGCAGAGCTGAGTTCCCAGTCAACAGTACATGTGATGAAAATCACCCTAACATTCACCAACCAACAAACCCTCGGGTATAACCACCAAATTTAAACCAGGAAAAGATTAAGAAATCGACTCCTGGCATAAAGATCAAATAAAGTAACTAATTCTGAAAAATGTAACCATAATTAACCTCAATCAAGGGGACAGTAAATCTTTTCTTTAGAGTAATTAGAAAAACGTACTAGTAATTATAACCCTCATTTATAGGAAATACTCAGTATGTGGCAAACTGTCTTCATGAAAAAAAATACATTCTTCTGGCTGTTGACATGCAAAATATATCCATCTCTTATGGATGATAAGAAGAAAAGTCATTGTATATCACTGTTTCTTCATCTTTACTGCATTTTTCTTTTCAGATTAAAAATCTATACAGCATCTCCTCGGTCAGATGTACAAATTTTAATGAAAATAGAAAACAGGAGCCGAAACTCTGTCAGGTAAGGTGGTTCTTCAGTTTGTGTGCTTACTGATAAAAATAACAAAAGGAAGTAACACATTTCTTAGTCTTTTCAGTATTATGATTGGAGATTACATAATATCATGGATTAAACTTCAGTGAGTAATTACTAACTGTCTTGAAAATTATTCAGCAAAAATACTATTTCTTTGTCTTTTACTATGTCAACATTGAAATTTCAGTGCAATTATTAAGTGTACCTGTACCTGAGCTGCTTCAGCAGCAGCCCATGCCAGTGTAACAGAACATGGGTTTGTGTTAAAGTGCTAAGAAACTGTAGACATCCATTCCCTTCTAGAAGTTCCTCCCCAAGGGAGTTGAAGTGATAGTTGAAGAGAGTTGTTTTTTTAAATCACTGCAGCAAAAATTGTGTATATCAGAATCCAGTCACTGCATTTGAAATTATACATTTTTCTCAAAGTTACCAGCTCATTACTCTTCATGTTACCATATTTCTGGGTGTGGGCTTTTGTCTCCAGAATTCAGACTTGTGCAGAATTGTTTTCTTTGTTTCCAGAACAGAAAATAATCCTGAACTTTAAGGAAATAATTTTTACTGGTTTAAATACCATTTTGAACACTCCACCCTGTTGTCATTGTTACTGGAAAGGATATGTATCAGCTTAGTATCATAACTTATTGTGGTTGACCAGTGATTCCTAGTTAGGCATCTTAAAGTACATTCTTGTCTTCAAATGTAACAAATGTAAATAATATGCTTCCCTTAAACATCATATGTTATTTCTAAGGGCAGAATAAAGGTATATTAAAAGAATTTTAGTTGTAACTGAGCTTCCTGTTTGTGCTGTATTTTTTCCCCAATAATATTAAAAAATGTGTAGTGTACTTTGAAATTCAAGCCCAAATTGTTAATGATTTTGATTGATTTTTTTTTTTCTTTTTGCAATCATTATTTGAAATACGGTTGTAACATTTACCATCAGAGTTACCAGCTAGAAACCTGTCTGTTTTAAGTGAATTTGAGGATACAGAACCATGGTTCTTACACACAGGGAAAAAACATGAAATGCCTTGGGCTGCTCAGTACCCTGTGTCTGAGGGTTACAGGTGTGGGAATAATGAGTTTTCATTTGTGGACACTGAAATTGTCAGGTACCAGCTGTTTCAGCTGAATGTTCAGAAGTCGCTGGGGCCTGATGGATTTTGTCCTGGAGTACTGAAAGACCCATTGGATGTTATGGCAAGGCCTCTCTTGATCGTATATTAAAGGTCTTGAGAGTCTGAGGAGATCCCTGCTGACTGGATGTCATGGTTTAGCCCAGCAGGCAGCTAAACACTACACAGACACTCACTCAACACCCCACATCCCCAGTGGGATGGGGAAGAGAATCAGGGGGAAAAAAAAAGTAAAATTCTTGTTTTGAGATAAAGACAGTTTAATAGGACAGAAAAGTAAGGGATGATAATAATGATAAAAGAATTAGAATTAGAATGCCCAGTGCAGTTGCTCACCACCCACTGCCCAGTTCCAGCCAGTTCCCAAGTAGCAGCCCTTGTCCAGCTTTGCCTTTAGTTTATACACTGACTATGTGTTTATATGTTATGGAATGTCCCTTTTGTCCAGTTGGGATCAGCTGTCCCTACTGTGTCTTCTCCCAGCCTCTTGTGCCCCCAGTCTACTTGCTGGTGGGGTGGGGTGAGGAGCTGAAGAGACTTTGACAATATAAGCATTAGTCTTTCACATTTCCTTTTTTAGGAAAGAAGGAAAAGTTGGTTTTGTAATAGCAGGTAAAGTTCACCTTTTGATCTTTTGAACTGGAGTATTGTAAGTTTTGTAGAAGGCTTGGGAAAAAAAGACAGCTTAATATCAAAGTTGACTATTTCTTGTGCTCATCAGTTTTGTTGTTACTTAATAATTTTCCTCTTCTGAAGTCTCTATAATACTTTATTATTTCACAGATTTGAGTGAGAATTCTTCATGAAATCAAATTAACTTTAATATTCTTAAGTTTGAGACTCATCTGTATTCCCAGAATCAACTGTGTTGGTTGATAACAAAGTTGGAGTAGTTGGTATTTGTCCCACTCAGAGAATGTAATGTTTATAGTATAAAAAGAACTGTAGAAAGTTAAAATAGAAGAGTGTTTTGACTTAAGAACTGCAGTTCCTCACTCGGAAATTATGTGAATCTCTTCGTATAAGTTGGCAGAGTAGGCCCAGCTGGGGCAATGCAGACAGGTCAAGGAAACAGCATATTGGAAGAAAATTCCTCTTCTGAAAGGAAAGAACAAAGTTTGTTTGAAATTATGGGATTGCTGTGTCAGCAGTAAATCATCTGTTGACATAAGCTGTGTCTGTGCCAGCAGGCACTCTCAGTGCAGTTGTGCCAGTGTAGTTGTTGTGACAAAGGCTCTATGAGGGAATTCAAATTTTTACTGTAGTTGCATTACAGTTAAGTAAGGAAGAATTTGTTTTGATTTCTTCTCCTTTTTGTTCCCCAACCCTGGTTAAATTAATTGGGGCGGTAATGGTCCTTATTCTATAAATCTATACTTGGAATTGCAGTGGAAGTACTTGTGACTGAACCATGACCAGCTTGCTGCTTAGTGGCCTTGAGTGTGGAACAAAAACTGAGTGCTAACAGAGCTCTCTCACCTTTCTTTATCCACGTTTCTTTAACAGTGGGGATCTGTTAGTTTGTGTAGCCTTGAGTGCCACTGTCAGCTCAGAGTAATTTCTCATCCTGTGTCTCACCATTCTGCAAGATTTTAGGCTGTGTGTTCCTATATGTCAGAATGCTCTTCCGTCGCTTTGTGGGCAGACTGAAGGAGTGGGATTGGTGTAGGCTACTAATACATGTAAGTCTACATGAATGTTGTGTTATCCACCACTTCTATGACCACCAGAAAAATTTCTGCTCCACGAGCACGAGATACTAGAAGAGCTGTAAAACTACATTGTTAAATCAAATGTTGGTTTTAGGCTTAGCAGAACCTTTTGAAAAAAGTACTTTTCATAGTTACAATTGCATATTATTGAGGAAAAGCAGTGGTGTTTTGGAGAGCATCTAAGCAGGATTATTATAGGTTACAAAATGTTAGTCTTTTAGTTTTAAGGTAAGTGTGCTACAGAAGGATTTTAGTATTTCCTGCAATTGTTTATGAAACAGGAGTTTGTGGTTTAGTTTTGGCTGTTTTCTGTGTTTCACAGCAAATGACCCTTTTAGTTTGAAGGTCCTTTGTAGAATGCTTTGAATTTTTTGGGTCTTTTTTTCTCCAAAAATTCTAATTAACCACATAGTACAGATTTCTGCTTTCTCACAGTTTTCTGCAGAACTTCAGAAAACTACTGTTGTGCAGGTATCATGGATAGCTGCCAAAGACAGTGCTTACTTTCCTCAAGCTACATGTCTTTTATCATCAGTGGGGACGGTTCTTAGAAAACGTTGTGATGAGCTCTTATTTCTGTCTTCTCTAAAAGCAGCTTGTAAGAATTGCTTTCAGTATTGATTAGTAGCACTCCACAGTTACCTGGGATAACCGAAAGCATAATTTCTCCTCATGTCCTCTCCTCCCTACCTGTTATCTAATGCTCTATAACTGTTAGTTACATTTGATAGTCTTCTCATTAACTACATGTACTTTATGAGAAATCTTATGAAAGAGGATTTGAAAAAACGAGCGTTATACTATTATCTTCTTCCTTTAAAACCTTAGAAAAAATCTGCATTTGACTGGGTCAGAATAGTTTTCCGTTTGGTACTGCTTGCTTCTATCACCTGTTATGCAATATTTAGTTGGTGGTTGGTGTCCATTCTCTCCTCAGCTGTAACTATTCCAAGAAAGGTTTAACTGCTGCCTCTTGGATGATTTTTACAGTCTACATTCTTTTATAAGTAGTATTTTCTTTCTTCAGGATAGATTAGTGTCCTGACTATCTTCAGACCTTTATTTGGGATGCCTTCAAAGTGACTTCATATGGTAAGAATATTGCTTTTTCCACTAAGGAAAGGAAAGATGCAATGGCTAAATTCTACAATCTGGTTTGGGAAATACACGTTCTCATTTTCCCGAGGATAGCCTTATCAGGCTTTGTGTAACAAAAAAAACCCCAAACCAAAACAACCACCAGCCTCTCCCAAAAAGAATTCCGAAATCCAACAGACCCTTGGTATTTGTCAATAGTAAGTTAGTAGTCAAAAGTTGGGGTTTTTTGTAACTACAGATACTTAATGAAAAATTTATTTTCTCAACCTTATCATATAAAATGATCCTATTTCTACAAGAGAAATAACTGCAACAAACTTAATTTACAGTAGATACTTTGGTATCTCTTTTACTGGGTTCAGTAACATCTTGCACAAATCTAGTTTAGATACTTTACTCTTTAATCACATGCATTTAGTTTAATAGAACTAAAAAATAATGCTTTCTTAAGGATCAATGTTATAATGTTCTTTTTTGCCTATTCCAAATGGCATGTGAATGGTTTTTCAGAATAAGTTGTTGTAGAGAACTTTTTGGGGATTTGAAGATAGGAGTAGACACTGACAGGATATTTAGATGCCTGGAAAATATAGTCTGGTTGGCCTTAAGAGCTTTGCAAAGCCCACTGCTTTCAGTGGACCACATCCTCGAAGGAGCTGAAGTACAATGTGTTACCGGATTGTATCCTGTCACTTTCCTGTTGTAAAACTCCCACACCATACAGGGATGTATATAGAATCAGGTGTAGAATTGTTTTCTCTGTCAGTAGTACTGCTGCAGCTCATGCTTCAATTACTCAGAAAGCAAAAAAAAAAAAATCAAAGGAATTTTTGTGCCAGTTCCAGCATCAAGGTGCTTCTTACTCTCTGTGGTGACACTGGCTGGTGCACATGAGAACATGGAGACACTGGCTGCCACTTATTTCTGGTGGACCACAGAGTAGAAAATCTGCTAGACAAGTATCAGAGGTTCTTCTCTACTGAATGCGATTGCTTTATGGTGGTGAAGACTTACTTTGCTTTAACTGATTCAA